TATCGATGACTTGTTAGTCAGTGTGAACCTTATGGAGGCACGAGTTTATATTGTTCATGTAAATCCTGATACTGGACTGTCCTTTTTTTCGAAGGCAAAAAAATTGGGAATGATGAGCAGTGGTTATGTTTGGATCGCTACTGATTGGCTTCCATCTGTTTTGGATTCATCAGATTCTAATAAAGATACTATGGACGTACTACAAGGGGTTGTCGCGCTTCGCCATCACACTCCAGATTCTGATAAGAAAAAGACATTTGCATCTCGATGGAAAAACTTGAAGAGTATACAAACTTCAAGGTTTAATTCTTATGCACTCTATGCTTACGATACAGTTTGGTTGGTTGCCCGTGCACTTGACCTTTTCTTCAAGAATGGTGGAAATGTCACTTTCTCTGATGACCCCAGTTTGCGTGATACCAATGGAAGTGCTCTGAAGTTGTCATCCCTCCGAGTTTTTGACCAAGGACAGAAACTACTCCAGATACTTGTTGGCATGAACTTCACAGGTCTAACTGGTCAGATTCAGTTTGATCCTCAGAAGGATTTGATTCATCCAGCATATGATGTTCTTAATGTAGTTGGAACTGGATTACGCACTATAGGTTACTGGTCAAACTATTCTGGTCTCTCTGTTATAACTCCTGAGGTTTTATACACAAAGCCTGCTAACACTTCAACCAGTAACCAACATCTATATAATGCTATATGGCCTGGAGAAACTATAAAACGACCTCGAGGATGGGTGTTCCCCAATAATGGAAAGCCCCTGAGAATTGCCATTCCTTTCCGTGTCACTTTTGAAGAGTTTGTGAAGAAAGATAAAGGACCTGCCGGGGTGAAAGGATATTGTATTGATGTTTTTGAGGCTGCAATAGACTTGTTGGCTTACCCTGTCCCTCATGTCTACATTTTATACGGAGATGGAAAAAGAAACCCGTCGTTCAACAGCATAGTGAATGATGTTGCACAAAATGTGAGTACTTACAGCTACATTCAACAACCTAGTATTTATGACAAAAGTACTCTAACCAAGCCAGTGACCAGTCTAACTATATCTACTCAGCTTCAGTATCTATGCATCACGATTTTCCGTGATGGAAACACTAACTAATTAGGAAATAAGGTGATTCCTTTTTTATATATATGAAATGTGATAGAGACCCTTGATGCTGATTAGAAGTATCACAATTCTATATAGGGTAAGTGAAATATGCATGACCATAAGTGGATTTTATACTAATGTGGATTTGTCGAGGATTTACGGATGCATAACTCAAATGTTTGGTTCAGTGTGATATAAACTGATATCTTTGCGACTGTTGATAACGCGATATGACCAGTAAGTTGAAGAAATATGTAATTGAACTGAATAGGTTGGTCAGCAGCAATTGTCTATACATTCAGTTTATTGAGTAAAGTCGTTTGATAAAATTTCTTAAATATCGGTTGGGAGGAATGTCCAAGAAAATTTAGTTTCTTTTCTGTACACCGTAATGATGTAACATTCTATCTCTGCCTTCAACTAAGAACAGTTGTGTATGCATAAAATAATGAGAATATTTCTTAGAGCACTTATCAGGGTACATTTGTTTGTTAGAAATATGATGCAGCTGTTGGAGATATTGCAATTACAACAAATCGAACAAGGATTGTGGACTTCACACAGCCTTATATGGAATCTGGACTCGTCGTAGTTGCTCCTGTCAAAGAGACCAAATCCAGTCCTTGGGCTTTCTTTAAGCCATTTACAATTCAAATGTGGGGTGTAACTGGGGTATTCTTCCTCTTTGTTGGTTCTGTTATTTGGATTCTTGAGCATCGGATGAATCCTGAATTCCGCGGTCCACCGAGGAAACAACTCATTACAGTGTTCTGGTTAGTACTTCTTACTGCTACAACTTCTCGTGAAATGAGAATCAGTATGCTATTTAAGTGCAGGTTTTTCTTTAATGTTCTAGCATGAATCTAATTTTGACTCTTTCCTTTGCACAATTTGAATTCTGATGGCACCATTAATGTTGAGAAGATCCTTTTTTTAGTAAATCATTTTGCCTGTACACGTATATTATCCCTGGTACTAATATCCATTTTGTCTTTCAGGTTTAGTTTCTCAACCATGTTTTTCGCGCACAGTAAGAATATCCTCCTTGAACTTTTCTAGCAAGGTGCTATTATGATACTCAGTTCTTCCTTCGCACAGCTGACACTCTCCGTTGTGAATGAATACAGGAGAGAACACATTGAGCACCTTGGGACGCTGTGTGCTGATCTTCTGGCTCTTTGTGGTTTTAATCATCAATTCGAGCTATACAGCTAGCTTGACATCTATCCTTACAGTGCAGAAACTGTCTTCGGGAATTGCTGGAATTGACAGTTTAATCTCAAGCCCTGATCCTATAGGAGTCCAGGATGGGTCATTTGCATACAATTATCTCATTGATGAGCTACATGTTCCAAAGTCACGGCTCCGAATAATAAAAAGCGAAGCTGAATATGTCAGCGCCCTCCAGCAAGGTCCAAAAGGTGGTGGTGTTGCTGCCATTGTAGACGAGCTCCCTTATGTTGAGCTGTTTTTGTCTAATAGCAAATGCATATTCAGGACTGTAGGACAGGAGTTCACAAAGAGCGGATGGGGCTTTGTAAGTATTTCCTTTTGCTTTTGCTATGATGAGCTGACAGTTCGCCATAAAACTATATTTATGACTTACAAATGATCTAAATCGCCTTCATCCTCAACCCCAATGAAGAGGAATAAAGAGAACTCAGTCCAAAATTGGAATAGAAAAAATGGAAACTACAACATACTTCCTCTATTTCAATTTGTTCGTCTTACTTTTCTTTTTGGCCATTTCAAAAAGAATGTCTCCTTCCTTTTTGGCAACTCTTTAATTCTGATTTCCATATGACATGTTAAATACCACAAGATTAAAGAGTATTTTGGTACATATTACATATCTTTAGCTTAAGACCACAAGATTCAAAAGTTTTCTTTACTTTCTTAAACTCTGTGTCAAATCAAAACCAGACAAACAAATTGAAACGGAGGGAGTATTATGCTTATCTCCTTGTGATGATGCACAGGCAATCTGGTCTACTCAAAGATTGATCTTAACTGTCTTTGGTCAGGCATTTAAAAGGGACTCTCCTCTGGCTATTGATTTGTCAACTGCTATCCTTCAACTATCAGAAAATGGTGAATTACAAAGGATCCATGACAAATGGCTATCTAACAAAGAATGCTCTTCACAAAACAACCAAGTTGACGACACTCGCCTTTCTCTCAGTAGCTTCTGGGGCCTTTATGTGATCTGTGGTGGTGCTTGTGCCGTTGCTCTTGTAGTGTTTATCTGCAAGGTTTACTGTCAATTCCTCAGGTATGATCCCGAGACAGAGGAGCCGGAGATCAGTGAACCTGAATCTGCAAGGTCTAGTAGACGTTCCCTACGGTCACGTAGCTTCAAGGACTTGATGGGCTTTGTTGATAAAAGAGAAGCTGAGATAAAAGATATGCTCAAACGTAAGAACAGTGACAACAAGAAACAGATAAGTCATAGCTCAGATGTGCAACAGAACTCTCCTGTTTAAAATGTTGTTGGGTTGATGTTCTTTTGTTCAATGCATCAACCTATATATGTATATGACATTTATAATTCCTATTTTATGTAACTTATTTGTCATAAAAACTTAGGTAGATTAGAATGAAAAATGTCTTTGTAGGCTATTTAGTAGGAAAAAACTAAATTATACATGTGATCTGGTGGTCAATGAAGTGGCTGTGAATCTAAGGTTTTAGGTTCAAAACTTAGTGGAGACAAAAAAACAGAAGGTGATTCTTTCCATCTGTCCTAGCCTTGGTGGACAGAGTTACTTGGTACCTGTTACTGGTGGAAGGTGACAAATATCCCGTGGAAGTGACGAAAGTTGGTCCGGACACCATGGTGATAAAAAAAATAAAAAACTGGCTATATTATATTGTATAAATGATGAAATAGGGGGACAATTGTATTCAAAGTTTAATCATTTGTTTTCCTTCTTTGGGTATTATTGTTTTTTTAGTAAATAAATTTAATAAATTCCATGTCTTTTTCCTTTCTGTCCTATTATTTGTGGAAAGAGAATGATTTGTTCATCGTAGTTCACCAGAACTTAGGATTGATGTTCAACTTAAAATAAGTAGAAAGAGGTTTAAATAAAGCAGAATGAAATATAGATGAAGTGTGTCTTTAGTTATTCTTCTTGGTTTGTTACTATTTCCTCCGTTTACTTTTAATGGCCATGATTTTTTTTCTAGAGTCAAACTATAAGAACTTTGACTAATTTTTTATGATGTATTTTTCCATCATATTGATATGCAAAAAATTGCAATTTATAGTACTTTTCATTTAGTTTTTGAATATCTATTTTTTGTTTTGTTTAAAATATCGAATTAATGTAGTTTAATTTAACTTTGACAATAAATCAAATTAATTTTGGAAAAGCGCAATATGATAATTAAAATGGACGGAGAGAGTACTTAATAGAAGAAGTTTTAAGTTTTTGACCATAAATTGTCACTTTTTTTTTTGAATGATAGGGAATAGAAAGAGACTCGAGTCTAGTTATAAGTAAACGATGATTTACAAGAATAAGTACCCCTAATTACTGTCATGGGCTCATGGCTTAAGATGTATAAGAATAATTGTGAATTAGGTGTATAATTATATCAGTTATACATAAATTAGTTATATATAGGTTGAAATCATTACTAAATAGAAAATTAAATAGTAAGAATTAATATCAAAATTAACTAATTAATGATACATTCTATCGAATAATCTTTAAAAATTGTGACAAATAGCAAGTACTTATTCATTCTTATCTAATGATGTCAGAATCATCTTTGATTAGGAGCACTTGATCTCAAAAATGAAATCATTTGACACGAATCCAAAGTAATCAGACTCGAAAGTGATAACAACCATTGAGAAATCCACTCATTCCCAAGAATTTCTCATGGAGTCAACAACACTAACATTGAGAGATTTACTCATTCCCAAGAATTACCCACGGATTCAACACTTAACTCTCCAAATATAAAAGCAAACCTAAAACTCACTTTTCTTCCCACCGTCCCTTCCTTGACACGGTCCAAAAAACACCCCTTTACCTAATTCCAAGACAAAATCCTACCTTTTGAATCATCACCATCACCATCACCACCACCAATCGACATATAATGTCTTCTTCTGCGGCCACCATCCCCGCCTCCGCCAATGTTTATTCCAGTAGTTTAGCCAACAAGGATTCCATGGAGGATTTAGTTGCTTTAAAAATCAGCCTCTTGGGTGATTATCATATTGGAAAGACAAGTTTTTTGGTTAGTAGAAATAATTACTAGAAAATTTCTTTCCATGCATGCAATATTATCATCATATTATCCGCCTTGCAGAGACAAATTCAAAATTTAAATACAAACATATAACATGTCAAGTTGCAGAGGCAGATTCAAAATTTAAATGCAACAAATAACATAACAAGCTGGACCTAAAATAAGGAAACACAAATAAGGCAAAAACAATTATATTTTGTTATATATAAACCAATTAACCCTCTTGTATGATTTTTTGACTCCGCCATGCCAACCATGCACCTCTTAATTCATATGCATATTTTAGTCAGAACACTATTTTTTTCTTCTAATTTTCTAAATACATCAAAAATAACAATAACATATCCAGTGAAATCTCATGATTTTCTAGATACATGTGTATTTTTATATTTCAAGTTTAATTAATCATGAATTTTGTCATTTCTGTGTTTTTTTTTTGTAGACAAAGTATGTAGGAAAGGAGAAAGGGGAAGAAGGTTTTTCAACAACAGGGTTAAACCATATGGACAAAACTCTCTGTGTTAGTGGCGCTAGAATTTCCTATAACATTTGGGAAGTCGAAGGTATATTCTTTCCTCGATCCATTCATCCAGATTCGACTCATTTTTCTTCTTTTTTACGTGGATTGTCCGAAAAATCTCATCAATTTTTGGCATGCGAATAAAATTTAATAAAATCTACATATATATATATATATTTTTTTTTTTTTTTTTTTTGTCATTCTAAAGATACAATTATGTGAACATAACTTTTTCTAAAATTATGTTTATGATATTGCAGGTGACGTTTCTCATATTCCAGTAGCTTGTAAAGACTCTGTAGCAATGTTGTTTATGTTTGATCTCACAAGTCGTTGTACATTAAATAGGTATTTATAATTTATAATTTTTTTTTTTGCTAACATGAAAATAATGGATCATCGTTGTGATTATTGACGACAACGATATTTTTAGATCAAATTATTAACTGATGAGGATATTTTTGTTCAATTTCACATAGTTTAAGGATATTTTTGACATTTTTCGTATCTTGATCAATAACAGTGTAATTAGCTGGTATCAACAAGCAAGAAAATGGAATCAAGTAAGAAGATTAAAACTTTTCATTTTATTTTTTTGTTTTTCTAGATGAAATATTAAAGAATATGTTAATGTGACTTTATTATTTAATTTAATTTTGATTTACAGACGGCAATTCCAGTTCTAATAGGAACAAAGTTTGATGATTTTGCTCAATTACCATTACATGTGCAATGGACAATCGCTTTGCAGGTATATTTTCTCATTTTTTTGTGGCACCAATAAATGATAAACTGAGATGAAGCATAATATTTTCTCCGTTTTAATTTAATTATCTGATTTTAGACTTGACACAGAGTTTAAGAAAGTAAATAATATTTTAATTTTTTTTGTGGTTTTAAACTAAATGCACATAGAATTTATCATCAAATATTTGGTCTAATAATATATCATATGGAAAGTTAGAATAAAAGAGTTATAAAAAAATTATATATATTATTTGAAATAGAGTAAAAAAAAGTAAGACAAACAAATTGAAATGAAGAACATGATTCATTTGCTAACATGAATTGACAATTTTTAACATATAAAGAGATAAACCTATTATCTTTTTTCACATTTTATCCTTAATATTAATTACTTAATTATTCTCCAAAATTATTTTTCAAGACTTAAGACTATATATCATTTAATATGAATATCACGATAAAATCTTCATATTAATCATTGTTTTCCAAAGGATGCAAAGTCCAAAGTAGACAATTAAAAAAAATTAAAGAAGCAAATACTTTTACTTTTACTATAAAGATTTATTTGTACTATCTTAAACATGACTTAATTTTGTTTGAACAGGCAAGAGCATATGCTAAGGCACTAAATGCAACTTTATTCTTCTCAAGTTCAGCTTACAACATAAATGTTAACAAGATCTTCAAGTTCATCACAGCCAAAATCTTCAACTTACCATGGACATTGGAACGTAACCTCACCATTGGAGAACCCATTATAGACTACTAGACTACAAATGACTCACATAGACAATCGATCACTGGATCTTGTTACTTTTACTACAACAAGCTAGTGAAATTTCGGTTTTTCTTGATTATGACTCATTATGTAAAATACACAAATTTGTGGAATGGAAAACATTTTTTTCTTGTTTTCTTTTTGACTTTGTAATTTGTAGAGTCGGTTCATTGATTATTCGTGATTTTACCTAGTTCCTTTTTTATCCTCTCAAACGCCTTAATATACTTGTTATACAGTTTGTAATATTGAAATAGCTATTTAAGGTACCACCATTAAGATAGTTTAGTAAAAGGTGTTACAAGGGGACATATTTGTTTTACAAAAGGATTGTCACCTTTTTAAACAAGTGCAATTTCAATTGCTTATGTTCGTTATTAATGGAGACGTCAATTGGTACATATTTTTCACTTTTAATTCGATTGATAATAAGCTTGTTGTATTCTAAAGGAGTGCAATTTCACTTTTTTCCCCTTCTTTTCGTCTATTTCATATTTGAACAAAAATTAACTTTCTTGAATATTTATCGTGTGCCTGAAATCAGGGAGAATTTAATTTTTGCAAATTAGTTGTCCAAGAAAGACTTTGAAATTATTATAGAATTTGATAGTGTTATTATTTCTAAAAATTCTATATTTGTTGTTAAAAGAATACTATATATTGTTAAGGTTTTTTTCAAGATGAGTATTAATAGTATTAAGGGTTTGTGTATTTTCGAGTCAAATCTTATGTCATGACATACTAGATTATGACATTTAATTTAAATTTTGATTCTATGAAATTTATGTCAAGAATTGGATACTTAGAATGCAATTAAGAACAATTAAATAAGTGTGAAATTTGCATTCAAGCAAAAATGACAAATAAATCATTTTTACTGTTAAAGGAAATTCACAATTGCTTGAACTTATATATATACTAGTTTTTTGATACGTGCGTTACACGTGATTACCAGTTCAGAAAATATATGTTATAGTAAATAGTATTGCTTATTTAAGCGAAGATTTGAATAATAAATTTAGCATTAATGAAAATATTTTTCTCATAAAAGTTAACTATATTAAATAAATAAGTAACAATTAAACTAATACAAACTTCAACTGGGTTATTACAAGTCATATGAATTTTTCTTCGTCTAAAATACTGAAATATTAAGAAATAGTAAATAAGTAAAACAAAAGGGCAATTTTTATATAGTAATACCTATTTTGAAGCAAAATTTCTGACAATCTAAATCACATAAGTATCATTGATAAATAAAGCCATTCTTTTGTCTTGAGCATCAAAAAATAAATCATGACAATTCTCTAAATTTTGAAAAAATATATTCATAAGCATATATCTACTTCACAAGAGAAGTCGTTAACAAAAACAAATGAATTTAGACTATGATGTGAGGCAAAAATACATATTTTTAATCATTATTTGTCTCACATTTAGGGGTCGTTTGGTAGGGAGTATTAGGAGAACTATTCCTTGTATTATGTGTGGTATTATGTAGTACTATGTTTGGTAGGAATTTTGGGGCTATGTATAACTAATTCATGGATTAGTTATACACCCTCCATGGTATTATAGGGTGTATATAGGGGTGTACATGGCCGGGTTGGTTCGGATTTTTCAAATATCAAACCAAACCATTTGTGTCGGATTTTTAAATTTCTAAACCAAACCAAACCAATAAAACTTGGGGTTTTCAACCTCGGATTTTTTTGGGTTTTTCGGGTTGTTTCGGGTTTTTCCGGTAAAGTATTCATACAAACATATAATTGACTTGTACTTCAAATATTTCTTTAGTCCTACCAAAATACAACTATGTAAGATGTTTCTTAAAAATATAACACAATATGATATGATTAATGACACTAAAGTATCCAACAAAAATAATAATAATGAAATCGCGTAAAACAAATATTGCAAATTAACAAGTTATAATGAAAATGATCATAATTTAAAAGTACTAAATCATGCTAAAATAAGTTTAATAAGTATTAGTTACATAACTAAA